GATTAAGGTTGTCCCCGAGCAAAGCGCTCGTATTCGACCTTTCCGCTTTGCTCGGGGACGGGAGTATCTAATTGGAGCGGGTAGTGGGTCGCGGGTAAAAGGAGCGGGTCGCGGGTAAAAGGAGCAGGTAATTAAAAAAGGAGCGGGTAATTAAAAAAGGAGCGGGTAATTAAAAAAAAAGAGCGGGTAATTTCCCAGGTGCTAAGCGCCGGTGGGGAATTTTAAAGAAAAAAAAGACATTTTTTATGAAAGTGTAACAACATGAGGACCATTTTTACTAAGTGAAACCATTGACTTCACATAAAAAATCTCGAAAATTCTATCAAATGTTAAATGCTGAAAATACGTACACACTAGCGCAACGTTTTTGGGTCACCAAATGGACAAAAAGTATTATAACATGTACAAGTGCTACTCAAAACTCTACAGTCTGTCTCGGCTATTGCCTCACCAAACTGTGGTTATGCATTACTAACTCTATGGAGCAAAGGAAACTATAAACCATTTTTTACTATAAATTTATCCGAATTTCAAGTTTTTAGCCATCCGGTTTTTTATATGCGTACATGCCTTACGTGTACATGGCGGCCATCATGAGTGGCTTCAAAGATGGCGGCTAAGTTATCTTTCCAGTTCCCTTAAGCCCCGTTTACTGTATGCTAAATTTTTGGTACCGTAACACTTTTTTGGTTCTTAAAAGAACCACCGTACCAATATGGGCACCGATTTTATCCGTGCCGTACCAAAAATTGAGCGTAGTGTAAACGGGGCTTTAGAGTTCAATGGTTTGAACTGAACGTGAGCGCCTTATTAAAACACACTGTGTTTAGAAACTTTTGCTCTATTGTACGTGTAGTCTAAAAATGTGTATATATGCTACACCACTATCAGTTTCTGAATAAATTCAATGGTGTTCTGCAAACCTAAACCCTAACCGTGCAAACCGCATTCAATATGTTCATAGTTTTCCACAGTTTGGTGAGGCAATAGCCGAGACAGACTGTAGAGTTTTGCGTAGCACTTGTGCATGTTATAATAATTTTTGTCCATTTGGTGACCAAAAAACGTTGCGCTGGTGTGTACGTATTTTCAGCACGCCATAATAAGACATGTTCAGGCTGTTAAATATCTGTCAATTTAACATTTGATAGAATTTTCGAGATTTTTTATGTGAAGTCAATGGTTTCAATTAGTAAAAATGGTCCTCATGTTGTTACACTTTCATAAAAAAATCTATTTTTCTTCTTTAAAATTCCCCACCGGCGCTTAGCACCTGGGAAACTACTCAAATTACCCGCTCTTTTTTTTAATTACCCGCTCCTTTTACCCGCTCCTTTTTTAATTACCCGCTCCTTTTACCCGCGACCTGCTCCTTTTACCCGCGACCCGCTCCTTTTACCCGCGACCCGCTACCCGCTCCAATTAGATACTCCCACTATATGTATGGACTCAGTTATTAGGCATTCGGTAATATGCCTGTGTTAAGCCACACAGAGCTTAAAACAATATGAACAATATATCTTCATGTATTTTTATATATCTCAAAAGCTGAGGGCAGCTAATCCAGGCGGGAAGGATTGTTATGAAAGTATATCTAAATAGTATAAAAATAGTTCAATTTCCACCCCCAGGTAACTATAAAATACTAGTTAGGTCGAATGGAGAGATAATGAGCATTTTTGACAAAAAATAAACAGATAAAGTAAATCTCATTTCGGACTTGTGTAAAAGTGTCAATTATCTGTCCATTAAGCAAGATAAATAATTTGTCAAACTGTCAAAGTTAGACGAAAGCCTTGCATGGTGGGCTGTTGTGTTTACATAATTCAAAGTCCAAGGCTGGTTCTTCTTTGACATGGAAAATGTGCATGCTTAGGGAAAACGTGCATTTCTGTCAATCATCCTTCGGTATATTTCGCGTGGTTGAGTAATGATAACATGACATCATCAAAGTCTTGGTTCAATAAAATTGTAAGTAAATTTAGTTTAGTAGGTAAATTAAGGTTCACAAAGGTATAGTTTGAAGTTTTTACCATGATATTTTGATAAGTATTTTAAGTTGTGAACATATTTTAATAATGATCGATTGAACAGGGAACCAACTCGACAAGTACGACAACGCCTTATATAAACAGAATTTGAGAGCTGGAATGAGCTAGCAACGCCAACTCACACTTTTAAAACCTCAACGTTGATTGGCTGGATACAAATCACACCACTTGCTACATCACATGGACAAAGATCCCTCAACCATTAGTATAAAAGGGCGTCCACAAACCAAATTCGTCAGTGGACTCAACAAAGTAAAAATTATGTATGAAAAGTTGTAGAAAGCTCAAACGAAACAAGACAGAACAAAGAAATTAACAAACAGATCACTAACAGTGAAAGCCAGTTGAAGGCTGAAGTGAACTGTAGGAAACTACTATAAGAAGACGAACACTAAGAACTGATAGTTATTAGAGATTGACTGTAACGATTCCCTACCTCGTGTAGAAAAACGAAATAAAATATACATTTCTTAACAGGTATTTCTAGCTTCCGTTTTCTACCACCTGCTACGCAGGCTATGCAGTATAGTAGATGTAGAATGAAAGCGCCTGAACCCAATTATATAATTTTGAGGCCTCTGAGATATTGTATGTCCATTGTTAGCATAATATGAATTATTATTTATTTAAAAAATTCCTGGTTTCTGTTTGGCTAACAGCCAACTGTGAAATTGTCATATCAACTCAATGGCTAACCAAATACGGGTTTTTCACTTTCATATTAGCAAAATGACTTCAAAGAGTCAATATAAAAAAAAATTTGGATGAGTTTGCGCCATATCATTATGACAACGAGAATCATATTGACTCGCTGACGCCATTGATATGAAGCAACGACGGCTGCCGAAAGAATTGGTTTTTTCTTAATACAAATAAAATAGAAATGTTTGTTTTGAATTTTTTAAATAAATAAAACAATTATTGAATTCGGTTTTCGCACAATATGAAGAATTATCAAGCCCTCAGTTTGCCGTTATCAACCTCAGCCTTTAGCCTTCGGTTGATAACGGCAAACTTCGGGCTTGATAATTCTTCATATTGTGCTCAACCTCATTCAATAATTGTTAAACAATCCTACCGACCTACATTCATATATTCATCTGGCTGTGTCACTACATTTCAGAGTATAATTATATTTTTCAATATTGCTCACAATTTCTTTCTTTATCATATTAACATAGTTTTGCAGTTCTGACTGAGTTAATTACAATGAATGGTGTCATTTGAATCCGACATATTAAACAGAAACGTCATCAAATAGTTCTTGTCTCCCCATCAGCAGATTGTTCGGCTGTTCTGAGATATGGATAGCCTTGAAGGTGGCATTAAAAACAATAATTGAAACAAAACCCGACTTAGTACTTTTATATAAACGTTGTACAGCAGCTTAGTCCCTAGGCCTCTGGTAAAAAGCATGCACAGAGGGCTAGGGACTAGTCTGGTTGTACAGTATTCCGTGGCAAGCTAGCCATGGCAACTGGCCATATATGCATATTACACCTGAGGATTTAAACCAAAGTAGAATCCATCTAGATAAAGCGGGAACAATCAAGATGGCACGCAATTTTACTGATTTTATTTATAATAGGAAACATTAGGACAACGCCGTGTGGGAGCCTGTAGCTAATACTGAAATAGATGACCAATCGTCGATAACCTTGGGTGAGTCAAACGAATCAAATTATCCAAATATCTCATTATATAATTTAGAAAAAATACCATTTCATCGGGGCATGTCTATGGCATGTTTGAATATAAATAGATTATTTGCCCATATACATGAATTACGAGTATTTATGAGTAATAATAAAGTAGACATATTATGTATTAATGAGACCAAACTTGATTAATCAATTAATGACAATGAAGTCCATATACCAAATTTTGAAATCATTCGAAGAGATCGACGTACAAATGGCCGCCACAGTGGCAGCATTTGCATTTACATTAGAAGTAATATTACAGGTAGTTACAAAATACGACATAATCTACAATCTGAAACTCTCGAAAATCTAATTGTAGAAATTAAGAAACCACGATCTAAGTATATTCTAGTTAGTATATGGTATAGAACTCCTGATTTACCTACTAGTTACGTTGCCGAATTCGAGCAAATGATTGGATCGTTCGATGCTGAAAATTTAGAGTATTTTTTGCTTGGTGATTTAAATGTTGATTTTACCCCAACGACCGAGTTACCAAGCAAGAATAAAGTAATAGAAATACTTGATATATACGATGTAGAACAATTAATAAACGATTAAAACGAACCGACAAGACTTACTGCTACATCTAGCACCCTGATCGATTTATGCCTAACCAATGCACCTATAAATATTGGGCGTGAACACGATAGGATTTTTTCATGTGATGCGAACAATTAATAAATTAGGAGTGGAAATACCCACATATATCTCAATATTATCGGAATTTTATTGATTTCAATATTAGTTTTCAGTATTTTTTATACCGCAAAGCGTACTATGATGGCCTAGATGGTTATTGCAAGTGCTTAAAACATCGAGGGCCGTATAGCTAGACACGATAATTGGGGGGGTGGAGGGGTGCAGTATATTCATATATTCATTCATGTTTACATATCGTAAAAACAATCGATTTCAAAAGAAATCCGTCGGGCAGAACACGAATATATGAATATACTCCCCCCCCCCCAATTATCGTTCTAGCTACGGCCCTGAAAACATTTAAGTATTCACGTTTGTGCATGACAGCTATTTTCTCGGATAGAAGGAATTGCCATTTGAAACACTCCTGAATTCAAAATCTTTAATACGACCTTATAACCGATCTATAGCCGCAAACACAACAAACGTCGATCACCAATACTATATTGATATCTCAGCTTTTAACTTTTAAAAAATAATGCAATTTTCCCGATCTCCGCTACTAACTTCCCCACGAAGGGCAGATAGTTGCTAGGAACGTTAAGGTTCAGGTAGTTGCATCCCTATTAAATTAGCCGACGTTTGGCCGAAAAAAAACGAATTAGTAAAAATAATGCCGCTTTTGCGTCATTATGGCACACTCATGCACTATTTGCAATTTACTTTTAATACTCGTTCTCTACAGTGCTTATTTTTTCCATCATTTTCAGTTTCCACTGCACTGAATTGCACACAGTGTATTGGTAATGGCACAAATTGTGGCGACGAAAGTAAGAGTGTAATGTGTCCTCAAGGAAGAGGGTTGTGTGGTAGAGCAACATTTATGCAAAATGGCGTCCAGAAAGTGATGAAGCAGTGTGTGATGAAAGAATTTTGTGTTGGGAATATCGACTGCCTCAAAGACAGATTTGAGTTGGGAAAACGTTTCAAAAATGCAACTGATTGTGTGGTGTCCTGTTGTGACAAAGATAACTGTGATCCTCCAACACCTCTAAAATGCCATCAATGTCAGGGCAAAGGTAACAATTTTAGAGCGTATGTAAAAAATAGTAATTTAACTTTGGCATATTATTGACGTTATTCGTAATTCGCATTCGCTTGTATCCTAGGAAACGGGAATAAACGCGGAAAAACATGCAATGAAAAATTGACCTATACTTGTTGAAGTATCAAATCACTTCCGTGTTCAGGTTGACCATTTCTTGTTGCTTATTATAATGACTTTTGTATAGACCCATTGCACTGACGTCACAAAACCTCAGAGTGTCCTCCAGATGCTCCCTAACAATATCTGTTCGGGTACAACAACCACATACAGCGCAAAAATTAACCATTATAATACAAAATTGTTATAAAGTTTTACAAAATTTGCTTTTTTTGCGAAAATTATATTATGCATAGATTGCTAATTTGTCTTCCAGATGCATTATCACCAGCGCTGTGACGTCATGAACAACGGGTCTATAAAACAGTATTGTATTATATTTAACAAATATAAAACATTTTCCGTGTTGATATAACTATATATT